TTTATTATATTACTATATACAGTATAATATATACTACTGTATATTAAGTGCTAAAAATAGTAATTTTTGTATAACATGGTGGAAATAGCAAAATACCATGGTGAAAATAGTAGCCCCTTAATTAATTAATTTTTTAACTATTTAATTGTTTATCGATTTGCAAGATTTTATGTCATTTGAGGATGAAGATTTAGTATGTAAAGTTCGGTATTTCTCACCAAACCGAGTTACAGAGGTATCTACTAGAATAATTATTAAATTCTTGATAATACGTTGGGGTTGGAGTTTCCAATATATTGAACCACCATAGTCGAATAACTAAACCGGTTTTATCAATTGTTAAGATATATTGATCACCATTACAAAAGAAATTGAACGTGTCAATATTATCATCTGCTATATAATCTAGTAATAGGTAAGTTCCTGGTTCTACGTAGATATTTATATCTTCTATTACGCTGTCATCAATAAGACTAACAGTTTCCGATTTTTCTGTTACCCATTCATTCTCATTACATGGTGTTGACCAATAACTTCTTGCTACTTCTTCAATTGAATAACTCTTGACTGTAATCTATAATTTAAGTCAAGATAACACGCTATGTATTCATCTTCTGGAGAATGTAAGTTATTTTCACACCAACATTAAGCAGATGAGCCCTTATAATCATGTAAATATCCTTTCTTCTTATCCTTCTTATTGAACCTGCTTGCGATATGCTCCAAATGATACTATGTACTCATTATATTTTCATAGTAGATGCCTTCCAGGATGAACCTAACATTAAGATAAGGCTTTAAGTATTGTTGAACACCCGATGGTGGTAAATATTTTAACGTAGATTCGACGATATTTAAGATTTCTATATTCATAATTTCTGACTCAGACTGTTGATACGATTCTGCTATAAATACTTCGACAATATTTTCATTATTAGTATAATCTTCCAGATAACTTTGCAGTGTTTTCTCTTTATTATGAAGATTATCTTTGTAAATCCTTAAGAGAACAAAAATTTAACAAAAACATTTTACTTTCAGTTAATCACTCTTTAAATGAAACACACATATACTTACCT